GACCATTTTACAGGCGCTGGCACCCAACCAGGAGTGTGGGGATGGATCGATGCCCCCCTCCCCCAACACATCTAGTTTATAGCTTTCTTGACCAGCCTGGCAAGTCTCCTACCAAAACAGCTCTTCCCCTTGTCAGACCAACTCCACCAGCCTCCAGTAGACCTGGTCTCCCAAATCCAGTCCCATGTTCTAAATAATCAGCGACAGACAACTATAATAAACAGTTATCTCCATGATTAAAAGTTTTCTCCTAGCACTTCTTAAACATGCTTATGGAGTCACCTTATGATTATTAGGATATAAATTACTCCAGTAAAACAAGTGGTAAAACCAGAGGACATCTGTTTTAACCTTGGTAGCTTAGGGTGAGAAAGTTTTGTTTTGTTTTGGTTTGGGTTTTTTTTTCTAAAAATTATTTATTAATAAAAAACCACGGTTGTAACAGATGTGCAGAATAGGCTCAGAACGTGGGATATACTTCGGTGTAACTGAGATTAAGCAAGGGGTTTTCAACACTGGCCTGGAATTAGCAGCTACTTAAACCCTGTGTCACCATGCAACATACATGTTGTTGTTACCAGTTTTGTATTTGAGAGAAGTTCTTTTACTAGGAGGAAAATTATTTCAGTGATTATTTAATTGCATAGTCAGATGGCCAATGCTTTAATAGAGTGTGGTATTAAAAGATGTGTGTGGATTTGGAAGTTTTTATTCCTCCCCCCCCCCCCAAGTGCTGAAGGTGCAGCTGAAGCAAACGCATCTCTTGTAAATATCTGTGAACTGCAGAATCTGTGATGAATGTGGCCAATTGGATCTCCATGCCTGTGGCTACTAATGATCATCCCTAGGAACCACCCTGTAATTATTTACAATCAGTTGCACTTACAAACCTAATTAATGTCATGGCATTTTGGGTTAAGTGCAGCCTAGTGTAATGAGGCTCAACTAGAGCAAATACATGGGACTTAAACACATCAAGGAGGTCTGCACCTCTTGCTATCAGAGATGCCAGACCTTTTCTGCACTAATTTAGCATAACCATTACAGAGAGAATGTGCTGCTTCAAGTTGCTACTGTTGGCCCTGAGAAATGTGGGTGAGTGTGGGTGGGCAGGAGGAGTGCATCGTGCTTTCGTTTTGCAGGTCAGGAGGGACACAAAGCAGGATTTTTAACCTTCTCAAACTCTTCTGAAAAGCTCTTAAGAGGATGTTCAATAAACCTGAATATTTAGCATAGGTAAACAGGGACCCAACCAGCCAGGAGTCTGAAGGCACTCTCCCTCCCCAGCTGTCTGTGATGGGTGTGCAGTGTTGTGTTCCTTATCAAGCATTTTGCTGAAATTTCATAGTTGCTGGCAGCAAGCATAGTGTTACCTTGGATATATCCAGACTGGAGTCTTGCAGACATCTGAAGTGTTTATTCTGTGTGTTGCTGTTGAACCCAGAAACTTCAGTTATGAACTGAGATGTCCTGTATTACACAAAAGAACAAATAAATGGGCCTTCCCCAGAAAGGATTGGGAGTTTTTGCTTGGATTGATCACATTTGCTAACATGAGATAGCAAAGTTATGTTAGAGGGCCTATTTCTGAGTCTGTAACAGAAGTTGTATTGCACCATCTAAAGCTAATTCTGTACCATAACATAAATGCACCTTTGCTGCTTATGATAGTCTTCTGTTAGCAGTGAGAATAAAGACTCTGTGCCTGTATGTGCTGCTTGATATCTGTGCCTACAGCTCATCAATTTATATAGTTGCCCAGGATGACAGCTGGGTTTTGAATGT